TATATAGTAATACAGTAGTAGTGTATATATTACTAACTATATATATATATACTATATAGTGTGTGTACACTATATATCTTATTGCACATTTTTCATTTCATTATTTTCGTTTTTAAAGTGTGAATAAACTATATATTTTATTGCACATTTTGCATCATTTTCATTTTAAAGTGTAAATAAACACTATGTATTTTTTTGCACATTTTCATTTTTTAAATATTAAATATACACTATATTTGATTGCAGATTTTGCATTGTTTTCGTTTTTAAATATGTAACCTGTATCTGCAGATGTCGGACAGTCAGTTCATCCTGTCGTTTGTCCACCGCCTGCTGGACGTGCGAGGCGTCACCACGTACTTCTCCTTCTGTTACCCGTTCTCGTACACGGAGTGTCAGGACATGATGCTGCAGCTCGAGCAGAAGTTCCTGAGCGCCACACACACACACACACACACACTGGGGCCCTGCAGGTACTGTACCTCACGCATCATCACCGCACATCGCTCCACTTCTTCAGCAAACACTGTGTGCTTTATTGCACATTTTGCATTCTTTTCCTTTTCAAATATTAAACACTATATATTTATTGCACATTTGCATTATTTTCATTTTTTAGATATTAAACACTTTATATTTTAATGCACATTTTGCATTTTTAAAAATTTTAAAATATTAAACACTATATATTTTATTGCACATTTTGGATTATTACATTTTTAAAATATTAAATACTATATTTTAATGCACATTTTGCATTATTAAATTTTTTTAAATATTAAACACTATATATTTTATTGCACATTTGCTTTTTTCCATTTTTAACTATTAAACACTATATATTTTATTGCACATTTGCTTTTTTCCATTTTTAAATATTAAACACTATATATTTTAATGCACATTTTGCATTATTTTTATTTTTAAATATTAAACACTATATATTTTATTGCACATTTGCTTTTTTGCATTTTTAAATATTAAACACTATATTTTATTGCACATTTTGCATTCTTTTCCTTTTCAGATATTAAACACTATATATTTTATTGCACATTTTGCATTATTTCATTTTTTTAAATATTAAACACTATATATTTTAGTGCACATTTTCCCATCTTTTCATTTTTTAAATATTAAACACTTTATATTTTAATGCACATTTTGCATTCTTTTCCTTTTTAAATTTTAAACACTATATATTTTATTGCACATTTTGCATTATTTAAATTATTTAATGTTAAATAATACACTATATATTTTATTGCACATTTTGCATTATTCTCATTTTTTTAAACGTTAAAAAGCACCTTATTTTCATTGCAAAAATGTTAAACACTATATATTTTATTGCACATTTTGCATTTGTTTCCGTTTTTATACATTATTTATACATCGATATATTTGAAACACATTTAAATGCTTTTCTTTTTAAGTGCTCTTATTTCCTAAACATTCTCCCTGTACCTTCTGAAGTGCCAGTCCTCTGTCTCTCTCTAGTCCGGCGGAGAGCGTGTACTTCCACCGTGAGCTGCTGTGCCACTCTCTGGACGGCCACCGGGTGGACCTGATCACGGTCTCGTCGTGTCACGGTTTGCTGGAGGAGCGAGAGCCTCGACTGGACAGACTCTTCCCGGACCTCAGCACCCCGAGGCCGCACTGCTTCACTGGCAAACGGGTATCAGACACGCTTACACTTCTACAGACTAGTGCTGGGCGGTATGAGCAAACGTCCAAAACAGGGCTTTTTCTTTTTTTAAAGGGTTCGTTCACCCAAAAATGTAAACTCTGTCAGTAATTACTCTCCCTCATGTTGTTCAACCCCGTAAGACTTTCCTTCATCTTCAGAACCGCACACCTCCTCATTCTCTCCTCCTGTGTGTGTGTGTGTGTGTGTGTGCGCAGGTGTTTTTCCTGAGCAGCCGAGTTCATCCCGGAGAGACGCCGTCTAGCTTTGTCTTCAATGGTTTCCTGAACTTCATCTTGAGTCGGGATGATCCGCGCGCTCAGACGCTCCGCAGGATGTTTGTCTTCAAACTCATTCCCATGCTGAACCCCGACGGGGTCGTCAGGGGTCATTACAGGTCAGAGGTCATCTGTGAGCGCTTGTGTTTATTCAACATTAATGACGAGTTTGTGCTACACTTAATCAATTATGTTTTTAATTGAATCAGTGTTTTTAAAGTGCAGTGTGTAATATTTAGAGGATCTGTTGACAGAAATGCAATATCATAAACATAACTATGTGTTCAGTGGTGTGTAAAGAGCTTACATAATGAAGCGTTGTGTGTTTATTAGCTTATAATAAAGGCGTTTCTCTCTACACACACCGCGGGTCCGCTCACACACATGTTTCTACGGTGGCCCTGAGCGGACAAACGCGTTTCGTCACTGTGTTGTTCTTCATGATCAGAAGCTGCTAAAGTCAGCGAGTAAAACACTGACACAACGATGAACAACTCACAATAACATCGTTTTACTGAATAATTAAGCAAACATTGTAATTTCTCTTTGTAAAGAAACCTCATTGTTTAACTGGCTACTCTCTGCTGTCTCAGACGACGACATCACTTCCTGTCGGCCACCGTAACTTCTGTTGGGTGCAGTTCGCAAACTCACCACTAGATGCGCTAAACATCACACACTGCGCCTTTAAGTGATTTTAAATGTAAGTGTTTGCATGTGTTTGCAGGACGGACTCCCGCGGTGTGAATCTGAACAGACAGTATGTGAACCCCAGTCCAGATCTGCACCCCTCCATCTACGGCGCCAAATCTCTCCTGCTTTACCACCACATGCACAATCGCCTCGCCAACAACACTCCCTCCGCCCTCAAAACCTCCAACCAATCAAACACCAGCTTTCCTGTGACCACGCCCACTGAGCTAGAGCGCTGTCTCAACCAGCGCAACGAGGCGGAGCGTGGAGACGGGCCAATCCCGATGCAGCTGGAGGAGAGCTGGGAGAAGGGCGGAGTCGAGAAGGAGGCGGGCCCTTGCGATGAGAACCAATTGACGCAGAGCAGAGGTGACGCCCCCTTAGTGACAAGCCCCGCCCCCTCTGAGCAGATCCCGCCCCAGGAAAGCGGAGTGGCGTATTATATAGACCTGCACGGCCACGCCTCCAAGAGAGGATGCTTCATGTACGGCAACAACCTGACGGACGAGAGTCAGCAGGTGTGTGTGTGTGTGTGTGTGTGTGTGTGTGTGTGACACGAAAACGAAACATGGTAGCTGTGTGATCTCACTTTAATGTATTTTTTTGCCTAAAATTTCTAGCCATAAAAATATATTTATTCATTGTTAAACATTCATGTTTAATCAGTTGTTTTAAATGTTTTTAAATTATTAACTGTTTTAAATTTGATTGATTGTTTTAAAGGGGTCATATAATGCCATTTTTGTACAAGCTAGTATGATTCTTTAGGGTCTAAATTAAAAGTTTGTAATATACTTTAATTAAAAATTCTCATTAGTATTGTAAGAAAACACTTATTTTACCTGGTCAAAAACAGCTCTGTTTTCAGCACGCCGTTTCAGTGCATATGCCTTTAAATGATCATGAGCTTTGCTGACTCCGCCTCTCTGTTCTGTGTACACCGTTTGTAACTCAATAACTCAATAACCATAACGCGTTGTTCAGTATAAACGTGGGATTATGAATTATATTGAGAACGTCATACTACATAGAAAACATGCCGTAATGTACCCTGAGTGTAAACCTTAGACTCATTCATTGTGAAGCGTGCAGCTAGCGATTTGCAAAGATTAATATATTAATATAAAGTTTAATAAAACGTTACACTCACTTCCGTTCTTCTGGAGATTCAGCAGGAACACGAATATCTGGTACCGATCCATTTTTCATGAGCAGCTTCTTAGCAAATCCAGCTTTATACTCACCCTCGTCTATAAAGCAGTCTGGTGAGAAATGATTCGCGCAAACATGAGAGCATTGACGTTGCTCGTGGGGAATATTCCCTTCGAAAACAAACTCAGCCACTGCGTCTTCAGCGGTTCGGATTTAGGAACATTAAAATGACTGTGTTCGTTATTACACACAAGAACAGAACACCACAATCGCTTAGACGCCATTCTGCTCATAGACAGCGCTCCAGCATATCAACGATGACCGCGCCGGTCCGCGCAGACTATGATTGACAGCTCTCTCATGGAGCTGATCTCACCCGCGAGGGCGGGTCTGTGTTGAGACGCTCCTGTCAATCAACAATCGGGGGAGGGGCTTCCGAGCGTGTGACGTCACACGGTCGAACGGCTCGATTTGAGGCAGGGGAAAACATATAAGGAGATTAAAACAAAACCACTGGATGGATTTTTATCATTATATGATGGTTGTGTACAGACACTGCCAACACACATTTCAGTACAATCAACTTGTAAAAGTGCATGCACCATTATATGACCCCTTTAAGTGTTTTAAATTTCATCAATTATTATTTTAAGTGTTTTAAATTGAATCTGTTATTTTCAATGTTTTAAATTGAGTTATTTTAAGTGTTTTAAATTTAGTTATTTTAAGTGTTTTAAATTTAGTTAGTTTCAATTTTCAGTTTTCTGCTTTCCAGGTGGAGAACATGTTATATCCGAAGCTGATCTCACTAAACTGCGCCCATTTTGATTTCCTGGGCTGTAATTTCTCCGAAAAGAACATGTACGCCCGCGACAAACGCGACGGCCAGTCGAAAGAGGGCAGTGGACGTGTGGCCATTCACAAAACCATCGGCCTGATCCACAGGTACAGACCCAGGATCAAACTCAGTCAAATATTAAAGGGATAGTTCACCCATGATTTACTCGCCCTCAAGCCATGCTAGGTGTATATGACATTCTTCTTTCAGACGAACACAATCTTAGTTATATTAAAAAATGTCATGGCTCTTCCAAGCTTTATAAAGGCAGTGAATGGCCGTTTCTGTTTTGAAGTCCAAAAAAATGTGCATCTATCCATCATAAAAGTGCATCTTTTCATGATAAAAGTGCATCTATCCATCATAAAAGTGCATCTATTCATGATAAAAGTGCATCTATCCATCATAAAAGTGCATCTATCCATGATAATCTATCCATGATAAAAGTGCATCTATCCATCATAAAAGTGCATCTATCCATGATAAAAGTGCATCTATCCATGATAAAAGTGCATCTATCCATGATAAAAGTGCATCTGTCCATCATAAAAGTGCATCTATCCATGATAAAAGTGCATCAGTCCATCATAAAAGTGCATCTATCCATGATAAAAGTGTATCTATCCATCATAAAAGTGCATCTGTCCATCATAAAAGTGCATCTATCCATCATAAAAGTGCATCTGTCCATCATAATAGTGCATCTATCCATCATAATAGTGCATCTATCCATGATAAAAGTGCATCTATCCATGATAAAAGTGCATCTATCCATGATAAAAGTGCATCTATCCATGATAAAAATGCATCTATCCATCATAATAGTGCATCTGTCCATCATAATAGTGCATCTATCCATCATAGAAGTGCATCTATCCATCATAATAGTGCATCTGTCCATCATAAAAGTGCATCTATCCATCATAAAAGTGCATCTATCCATCATAATAGTGCATCTGTCCATCATAGAAGTGCATCTGTCCATCATAAAAGTGCATCTATCCATCATAATAGTGCATCTGTCCATCATAATAGTGCATCTATCCATCATAGAAGTGCATCTGTCCATCATAAAAGTGCATCTGTCCATCATAAAAGTGCATCTGTCCATCATAAAAGTGCATCTTTCCATCATAAAAGTGCATCTTTCCATCATAAAAGTGCATCTATCCATCATAAAAGTGCATCTATCCATCATAGAAGTGCATCTATCCATCATAAAAGTGCATCTATCCATCATAAAAGTGCATCTATCCATCATAGAAGTGCATCTATCCATGATAAAAGTGCATCTTTCCATCATAAAAGTGCATCTATCCATCATAAGTGCATCTGTCCATCATAAAAGTGCATCTATCCATCATAAAAGTGCATCTGTCCATCATAAAAGTGCATCAGTCCATGATAAAAGTGCATCTATCCATGATAAAAGTGTATCTATCCATCATAAAAGTGCATCTGTCCATCATAAAAGTGCATCTATCCATCATAAAAGTGCATCTATCCATCATAGAAGTGCATCTATCCATGATAAAAGTGCATCTTTCCATCATAAAAGTGCATCTGTCCATCATAAAAGTGCATCAGTCCATGATAAAAGTGCATCTATCCATGATAAAAGTGTATCTATCCATCATAAAAGTGCATCTATCCATCATAAAAGTGCATCTGTCCATCATAAAAGTGCATCTATCCATCATAAAAGTGCATCTGTCCATCATAAAAGTGCATCTGTCCATCATAAAAGTGCATCAGTCCATCATAAAAGTGTATCTATCCATCATAAAAGTGCATCTATCCATGCTAAAAGTGCATCTATCCATCATAAAAGTGCATCTATCCATCATAGAAGTGCATCTATCATCATAAAAGTGCATCTATCCATCATAAAAGTGCATCTATCCATCATAAAAGTGCATCCATCCATGATAAAAGTGCATCTATCTATCATAAAAGTGCATCAGTCCATCATAAAAGTGCATCAGTCCATCATAAAAGTGCATCAGTCCATCATAAAAGTGCATCTATCCATCATAAAAGTGCATCAGTCCATCATAAAAGTGCATCTGTCCATCATAAAAGTGCATCTATCTATCATAAAAGTGCATCTATCCATCATAAAAGTGCATCTGTCCATCATAAAAGTGCATCTGTCCATCATAAAAGTGCATCAGTCCATCATAAAAGTGCATCAGTCCATCATAAAAGTGCATCTATCCATCATAAAAGTGCATCTGTCCATCATAAAAGTGCATCTGTCCATCATAAAAGTGCATCAGTCCATCATAAAAGTGCATCTGTCCATCATAAAAGTGCATCTATCCATCATAAAAGTGCATCAGTCCATCATAAAAGTGCATCTATCCATCATAAAAGTGCATCAGTCCATCATAAAAGTGCATCTATCCATCATAAAAGTGCATCAGTCCATCATAAAAGTGCATCAGTCCATCATAAAAGTGCATCTATCCATCATAAAAGTGCATCAGTCCATCATAAAAGTGCATTTATCCATCATAAAAGTGCATCTGTCCATCATAAAAGTGCATCAGTCCATCATAAAAGTGCATCAGTCCATCATAAAAGTGCATCAGTCCATCATAAAAGTGCATCTGTCCATCATAAAAGTGCATCAGTCCATCAGAAAAGTGCATCTGTCCATCATAAAAGTGCATCTATCCAACATAAAAGTGCATCAGTCCATCATAAAAGTGCATCTGTCCATCATAAAAGTGCATCAGTCCATCATAAAAGTGCATCTGTCCATCATAAAAGTGCATCAGTCCATCATAAAAGTGCATCTGTCCATCATAAAAGTGCATCTATCCATCATAAAAGTGCATCTGTCCATCATAAAAGTGCATCTGTCCATCATAAAAGTGCATCAGTCCATCATAAAAGTGCATCAGTCCATCATAAAAGTGCATCTATCCATCATAAAAGTGCATCAGTCCATCATAAAAGTGCATCTATCCATCATAAAAGTGCATCTGTCCATCATAAAAGTGCATCAGTCCATCATAAAAGTGCATCTGTCCATCATAAAAGTGCATCAGTCCATCATAAAAGTGCATCTGTCCATCATAAAAGTGCATCTGTCCGTCATAATAGTGCATCTGTCCATCATAAAAGTGCATCTGTCCATCATAAAAGTGCATCAGTCCATCATAAAAGTGCATCTATCCATCATAAAAGTGCATCTGTCCATCATAAATGTGCATCTGTCCATCATAAAAGTGCATCTGTCCATCATAAAAGTGCATCAGTCCATCATAAAAGTGCATCTATCCATCATAAAAGTGCATCTGTCCATCATAAAAGTGCATCTATATGAATAGATGCACTTTTATGATGGATAGATGCACTTTTATCATGGGCTAATTTTCATTTTTGGGTGAACTCTCCCTTTAAACCGCTGTGACGTGAGTTTGAACGAATGCATGTGTTTCCTGTCTTTAGCTACACACTGGAGTGCAACTACAACACGGGGCGTTCGGTGAACACCATCCCACCCGCCTGTCACGATAACGGAAGAGCCACGCCCCCTCCGCCGCCCGCCTTCCCGCCCAAATACACACCTGAGGTGTACGAACAGGTGGGGCGAGCGGTTGCCATAGCAGCGCTGGACATGGCGGAGTGTAACCCGTGGCCGCGGCTAGTTCTGTCTGAACACAGCAGCCTAATGAACCTGCGGGCCTCCATCCTCAAACACGTGAGGAACAGCAAGGGCTTCGCGTCCGACAACCGCAGGAACACGAAAAACAACAGCCCACCTAAACCTGCGTAAGGGTCACTATAGTTCACTAAAGCTGAAACCATAAACTCCCCCTGTAGTCCATCATTTTATCCCTTTAGACCTTCCTCCTGATGGATGTGTTTCAGTCTCGTTGTGTGTTTTCCCAGAAGCCTGAGCATCTCTGCCTCTGAGAACTCGCTCACTCGGACGCGCAGTATCGCAGATGTCCAGGGATCCCGGCAGACTCCGTCTCAGATCAAGAGTTCTCCCAGCTTCACCTTCGGCAGCTCGGCCTGCGCTCACGGCCCCGGCGCTCACCGGCCCCCGCACAGGAGCCTGGGGCCCGTCAGAGGTCAGATCACAGTCTCTCAGGCCTTATCTCTTGGCTTGACACAAAGCCTTGTCTAAAAGTTTGAAGAAAGAAGTCAATAAAGTGTTGAAAACATGTTCTAATTCATTAACATGTTTTAGCATGTTGCTAACATATTGTTAGCATGATTTAACATGTTGCTGGCATTATTTAACACAGTGCTATAGCATGTTTAGCATGTTTTCACATTAATTAGCATGTTGCTAGCATGTTTAAGAACATTGCTAACATGAATTAGCATGTTGCTAGTATGTTTAAGTATGTTGCTAACATAAAGGTTGGTAGCATATTTTTACTATGATTTAAAACATTGCTAACATGTTGTTTTCCTTATTTAATACATTGATAGCAAGTTTCAACATGATGTTAAAATTAACATGTTATTAGCATGTTTTACCATGTTGCTAGGATGATTTAGCATTTTGTTAACATGATTCAACACGTTGTTAGCATTTTGCTAAGATGATTTAACAATTTAGCATGATTTAGTACGTTGTTAGCATGTTGCCTTGATGATTCAACATTTTAGCATGATGCTAGCATTATTTAGCATGTTGCTAGCATTATTTAGTACGTTGTTAACAGGTTGCCTTGATGATTCAACATTTTAGCATGGTGCTAGCATTATTTAGCATGTTGCTAGCATGATTTAGCATTTTGCCAGCATGGTTTAACATGTCGTGCTAGGATAGGGGTCAAGCTTTGCTAGTGAAATATTTAAAAGTCTTATTGTGCGAAAGTCTTGACCCCCTCAATGAAAGTCTATGGGACTTTTTGTAGTTTTGATCGTCCGTTTAACGAGAATCGTACGTCCGATCAGCAAGGAAACATGCAGCAACCCGAGTCAGAACAGTCTGAGTGTCTGACCCAAGTTTGGTGGTTGTAGCTTGAAAATTTTTATCTTTGTTAAGCCAACGCAATAGTAATGATGAATCACAAATATCACCTGTTGTAATAATAGACTTATGACGTTTTTGTGGGCGGAGCATATATAATCTGTAGACGCCACGGAATAAAAGAATAAAAAAGTTAATTTAGAGTTTATATTTCACAATTTTGACATTTTATTCGAGTTTATATCACACAATTCTTAGAAGGATAAACACAATTGTGAGATATACTCGTTATTCTGTATTTTTTCTTCACAATTGCGAGTTTATATATCGCAATTCTGACTCTTTTTCCCTCAGAATTGTGATATAAACTTAAAATTGCGAGCTGAACTGGGAGACATAAACACGTAAATGGAAGAAAAAGAGTCAAGAATTTAGTTTTAAATCAAGTTATAGGTTTAATATGTATGTATGTCGCCTATGAACTGCATATGTGAATATTACGTAGACTTATTGTTTACATAAATGCTTTAATATTAGACTAAATCATGGCAGGTTTCATCAGTCCAGTCTGTGACTTGCAACGTAAACGTCTGCGTTTAGCTTAAAAAAAAGTGTGTCTTCAATGATGGAACTCTATAATAATGGAGACCATATTTTTTTTGCACTCCGATTTTGACATACAAAGGCACAACAACATTTCCTCCACTATTTTTCTGTTCTGCCACCTCTCTGCGCGTAGCTTTGTGACGTAGCTGTGATGTCTCCTCCTGATTGGTCTATAGAGATGTTGTTTTGTGTCCTGCTTTAGACTGTAAAGCGCAGGAGAAGAGGCGTCCGCATCATCAGCACCAGCGGCTCTCTCTCCGCTCCAGCCTCGCTCGCCCCGCTCTCTCTCCCTCCTCCTCCTCCTCGTCCTCCTCTTCCTCCGCCTCTTCGTCCCCCGGGGGTGTCGTCGGGGCCCCGGGGCCCTGCTCCATCAGCTCCATCAGCACGGCAGGTCTGTACTCGCTCCAGCCCTCCACACGCCCCCTACAGGCCAAGCTGAGCGACTGCAGGACGGCCCCGGAGTGACGGCCCTCAGTGTGTGTGTGTGTGTGAAGACTGAAGAGTGTGTGTGTGGTTTTATTTTGCACCTGAAGATGATGAAAAAAATGAGATTTTATTTATTATTACGCCTGAATCTAGCGATATTGAGATTCTACATTCATGTTTGAGTGGAATATGAGCTCAAACTGCACTGAATATCATCATAACAGCGTATTTCACCACAAAATTATATTAAAAAGTAGTGCTGGGCAACGATGTGTACAGTGTTTAGTTATTTTGTATATATAAACACACATGCATGTATATTTAAAAAAAAATGTGTGTTTTTTTTTATATTATATTTATATATTATTTAAATTATGTATAAATAAATATATATACAGTATGTACATGCAAATATTTCTTAAATATATACATGCATGTGTGTGTATTTATATATACAAAATAATTATACACAGCACACACACACACACACACATATATTAGGTAAACACAAACTTTTATTTTGGATGTGATTAATCGTTGCCCAGCTTTTATTTTTGCATTTTTTTTCATGACAGTTCAACCACCAAACTCTTATTACCAAACGTGTGTGTTGAATGTAGAGAATGAGTGTGTTTGCATTATTACAGTCATTTCGGGTGGAGAATTGTGGGAAATGTGGTTGATTGTCATGAAATGTTTCTCAATCATCCTTAAGGTTTTTATTTATTTTTGGGAAGGTTGAAATATGATAATGTTGTTGAGAAAGCTGGTCTCTAATTCCCGAAACACGTATATGGTCATGCGCACTTTTATATGAGTGAATATATGATCAAAATCAGTCAATGAATGTATTGTGTGTGTGTGTGTGTGCGTGTGTGTGTGTGTGTGTGTGTGTGTGTGTGTGTGTGTGTGTGTGTGTGTGTGTGTGTGTGTGTGTGTGTGTGTGTGTATTTTCTACTTTCACCTACAGTTTCATGTCTTATTTTATTTGTTGTGTGTGTTTGTAATAATCTTGTGAGCTGTAAAGTCTGTCCAGCATCATGTGACTGCTGGACTTCATCTTTAATGCCTTTATTCTGACTGCCTTCTGCTGTGAGAGAGAGAGAGAGAGAGAGAGAGAGAGAGAGAGAGAGAGAGAGAGAGAGAGAGAGAGAGAGAGAGAGAGAGAGAGAGAGAGAGAGAGAGAGAGAGAGAGAGAGAGAGAGAGAGAGAGAGAGAGAGAGAGAGAGAGAGAGAGAGAGAGAGAGAGAGAGAGAGAGAGAGAGAGAGAGAGAGAGAGAGAGAGAGAGAGAGAGAGAGAGAGAGAGAGAGTGTGTGTGTGTGTGTGTGTATGTGTGTGAGAGAGAGAGAGTGTGTGTGTTGTAGATCTGATGTGGACTGATATCCCAGAATTCCTTCAGCACGTCGTTCTCTGCCGGTTCAGAACTCGCTCAACACTCATTCACCATCTCCGCAGAACCGTGTGTGTGTGTGTGTGTGTGTGAACTAATCGAACTGACGCTCACGTCACGTCTCGTCTCTGCTGTGATGATGTCACGTGACGTCACTTCCTGTTCCTGTTCTCTCCACATCTGACTTCATTTCTTCTCATCCTGAAGTTGTTTTCTGATCGTTCTTCTCATCCGTCTCTGAATGTGTAACACACCGCGCTAACACAGAACCGGTGATAACCGGTACGTTAGTAAATGTATCTTGTATTGTTGTGCTCCGTGAGCTGGTCGAAGAATCCGAGCGGTTCATCTTTTCTCTAATAAACGTCTTCTGTTTAAACTGCTTCTGTGACCTTTGGCCTTTCTTTATCATTCCTTCTCACGTCAGCTTCTGCAAAACTAAATGCAAAATTATGTTTTATCATATTGTCAAATCCACAAGTCACTGTGAATGAGCTGACTGTGTTTCTATGGTTACCAGCACATTCCACTGTTACTATGGTTACCGTGAATGTTTTTTGTAAAACGAGGTAACCCTATCTGTGTTGTTGCCTAGGCAACAGCTGCCCTGAGTTCCGCCCAGCCGGCCAGACTAATGAGATGCGTGGTGGGCGGGGCAAGGCTGGTCGATCAGGCCCCGCCCACTCTCAGGCGTCCTATCAGAGGACGGCGTTCACGGCACAGGTGGAAACACACATTTACTGGAGCTGTTCATAACACTGATGGATTATGGATTGAAAAACTGTTGTGACTGTTTTCTAGGAACCGTTGCGGGAATCTCTGGACATCCTGACGTCTATAGAGTACAGCAGGTGAACATCCTCATCATCTGATACTTACTGTACAGAAAACTGTGTGTATGTATGTGTGTGTAAGTGTGCATGTATGTATGCATGTATGTGTGTGTGTATGAATGCATGTGTGTGTGTGTATGTATGTGTGCGTGTATGTGTTTGTGTATGTATGTGTGTGTGTGTGTGTGTGTGTATGTATGTATGCATGTGTGTGTGTGTGTATATGTGTGTGTATGTATGTGTGTGTATGCAGTGTTGGGGTAGTTACTCAAAAAAGGTAATTAGTTACTAGTTACTAGTTACTTCTGTAAATTGTAATGAGATTACTTTACTAGTTACTGCGTTTGAAAAGTAACTTCACTACTTATTACTTTACTTTCCCGTTTCTTAATTTATGGACAAATATCATAGCCCTATCATCACTTTGCCTGTCTACATAGTGTTTATTGTATAAATATATACAAAATGGCATGTAAAACCATATGAAAGAACAATATCCCTGTCTGCACAAGGAAATATATCTCACTGTAAAATCCACAAACAACAGGATAAAGGAGGCTATGGTGCGGTCATTTTAAAATGGGGTCAACACACAAGTTTTAAAACACAGGCTTTGGGAAACATGAGAATAAACTCTTCTCCTGAGAACAAAACAAGCTTTTTATTCGACTCATGGCAATAAAAATAAAAAATGAAGTGGTCAATGAAAAATAATAAAATAAAGGTCACTTTTACATTTTTGATCTTAATTTAAAATGCATTTTTCTTGGCGATTCAATAGTCGGCAGGGGAAGCATTCCTCTACAATGAACCCTGCAACTAGCCTGTTCATTTTGTTTTGTGTTACCTGCTGTGCTCCAAGACTTGAGAAGAGTTTTTGTAACAGCGTGCGCGGCGCCGAATCCGAGGATGAACGACTTCAAGAAGCCGAATCTGCCCGAGCATGTAGCCTACGTCTCACCGTGACCGCATCGGCACACAGTTTGCGTGTCTAAATCAGTTGCTTATGTTTACAAAATGAGCCTACAATAGCATAATAAGCATTTTTAATAGAAAGATCCATGTTTTATCAAATGTCCACGAAACTTAATGAAATGTTTAGTGAAATTAGAAACCATTTAAGAGATCGTTGATTTAGTTCTATAGTCTACATACATGTTTTTATATCCACATTTTGTTCTAATGTCACAAGTAATAATCTCAGGGTTTACTGGATTTTACGTACACGATTCTTTTTGTAGTGTTATTGGTGGTGATGTAGCCTACTAAAATAAACATCGTCACGTGTGGACCTTTCTTCTTCTCACCGTTGATTCCTGATGGTTAAGAGGACAATTACTCGAGTCGCCCCGTCGTTTCACAGAATAGTACAATGGCGAGCGCGTCGAGTATAAACGCCTCGTCCGTTTGGGGAGGTGCGCGTGCAGTCAGCGGAGACTCGCGCTGCAGAGACCCCCTGTCTCCGTCTCCGTCTCCATTTCCCTCTCTCCTTCGCACCGGCAGCTATGTCACTCAAATCGATCTCTATGGCAACGGTGCGCACGCACCACTAGACAGAACTTTACACACAAGCAAACACGGCTTGGGTAACGCAGGAAAGCGCGTTCCTATAGTATAGTAAAGTAGTGTAGTTACCGATATTTTTAGTGTAATGCGTTACTTTACTTCGTTACCCAAAAAAGTAATATCGTTACTGTAATCCGTTACTTTGTAACTCGTTACCCCCAACACTGTGTGTATGTATGTGTGTGTGCATGTATGAATGCATGTGTGTATGTGTGTGTGTATGTATGTATGCATGTGTGTGTGTGTGTGTATGTATGTGTGTGTATGTGTGTGTGTGTATGTGTGTGTATGTATGTGTGTGTGCATGTATGAATGCATGTGTGTGTGTGTGCATGTATGAATGCATGTGTGTGTGTGTGTATATGTATGCATGTATGTGTTTTTTTAGAACTTTTTATTTTTTTTATTGAACGTATATGTATGTATGTGTATGCATGTATGTGTGTGTGTATGCATGCATGCATGTGTGTGTGTGTGTGTGTGTGTGTGTGTATGCATGTGTGTGTGTGTTTGTATGTATGCATGTGTGTGTGTATGTATGCAAAAATGTGTGTGTGTGTGTGTATGTATGCATGTGTGTGTGTGTGTGTGTGTGTGTGTGTGTGTGTGTGTGTGTGTGTGTGTGTGCATGTATGAATGCATGTGTGTGTGTGTATATGTATGCATGTATGTGTTTTTTTAGAACTTTTTATTTTTTTTATTGAACGTATATGTGTGTGTGTGTGTGTGTGTGTATGCATGTGTGTGTGTATGTATGCAAAAATGTGTGTGTGTGTATGTATGTGTGTTTGTTTGTATGTATGTGTGTGTGTGTATGTATGCATGTGTGTGTGTGTGTGTGTGTGTGTGTGTGTGTGTGTGTGTGTGTGTGTGTGTGTGTGTGTGTGTGTGTGTGTGTGTGTGTGTGTGTGTGTGTGTGTGTGTGTGCATGTATGTATGCATGTGTGTGTGTATGTATGTATGTGTATGCATGTATGTGTGTGTGTGTGTGTGTGTGTTTGTATGTATGCATGTGTGTGTGTATGTATGTGTGTTTGTTTGTATGTATGTGTGTGTGTGTATGTATGCATGTGTGTGTGTGTGTGTGCATGTATGTATGCATGTGTGTGTGTATGTGTGTTTGTATGTATGTATGTATGCATGTATGTGTGTGTGTACATTATGGTTTGATTGATGACAATACATCCATAAATGTATACTCTATTTCATAATGGTAATTTTTAAACAATTACTTACAATATCATACTTCCTCACACACTTAGAAGAGCGACTGAAGTGTGTGTTCTGGTTTCAGGTGTGAGCTGCAGCCGCGGCCCAGCCGTATCCCGGTGCGGAGGGCGGTTCGGTCCGCCGTCGTCCCGCTCACGGGCCTCGAGACGCACAACATGAGCGTGTGGAAACTGATCACACCCGACGTCAAGAAACACCTGGCGGGTCAGAGCCCTGAGCTTCAACTAACCCTATAAAGACCAATGCATCATATTTAATAAGCCTGTAAATGCTCAACATGTTGAACTTAAACTCCTTCATGATGGGTTAGACCTTTTTCACCACGTAAAAGTCTTTTAGTAAAATTGTACAAACGTCCACCTTCAGCTCGTGTCTTTCTGCTGTGAAATCTTAACTGATATTTATAAGAATAACTTTGATAGTGTTTAGTAATATTTCATATTTCAAGTGGACTGAAGCAACTGAGGTTGACTTGATTATCCAGAGACATCATTTTATAGAAAAGTCTCGAGGCTCAAATATAATCACGAGGCTTTTGAGGAAGGATTTGTTCATCTCTCAATCGTCATTGTGTTGCAGTGCATCAAACGTTTTAAAACTTCAGAGCTTTGATCATAAAACTAAGCATTTAAATATCGTACTATACCGTTAATATAAAGATCTCATTGATTTACAAGCATCAGAATTTCATATAAATATCAGCATCTGCACAAAATTGCATAGTTTTGAGCCTCTGAATAAAACTCCTCCGAGTCTGATGCATCAAATATGATACAAAACAATGTGTGAAGGTTAAATAAACTTCCATTTCATTCATATAATATAGACTTTTCTGACTGTTATTCCATGTCAGTGATTTGAGCATTAAAGGGATAGTTCACTTTGAAATAAATTTTTGGTATGTTTTAGCTTACCTCAAGGGCATCCAAGATGTAGGTGTATTTGTTTCCGCAGTAGTTTCAATTTTGATATTTTTAGGTCAAACCGTTCTTGTCTGTCAGTCATATAATGCAGGTCTATGGGGTCCACCTCAAAGAGCATGCACAGAGAAGTCCAGATTAAACATGATTTAATGACTCGTAAATGTAAGTACACATTGATGGCCTAAGACACGAAACGAGCGGTTTGTGTGAGAGAACGAACAGTATTTATATCGTTTTTACCTCTTGTAACGCACAGGCCGAAGCGCCGGCGCCCTCAGATCACTTGGACGTGGCTGTGGTTACAAGAGGTAAAAACGATATAAATACTGTTCGTTCTCTCACACAAACCGCTCGTTTCGTGTCTTAGGCCATCAATGTGTACTTACATTTACGAGTCATTAAATCATGTTTAATTTGGACTTCTCTGTGCTGCTCTTTGAGGTGGTGACCATAGACCTGCATTATATGACTGACAGACAAGAACGGTTTGACCTAAAAATATCAAAATTGAAACTACTGCGGAAACAAAGACACCTACATCTTGGATGCCCTTGAGGTAAGCTAAAACATACCAAAAATTTATTTTAAAGTGAACTATCCCTTTAATGCACGCTGCCGATGGATCCATCTAACTCAGAATCTGCTGTGTTTAGGTGTTTCTGGGAAAGACGGGTCATTGCGTCTCGCCTCCAAATCTCTGCTGAAGAGCTCTGGAGACGCTAGAGATAAACACACAAACAGGTAACACACAGGTTTACTAAGTCTTGGTGTTGTTTTTACGCTCTAGAACAGGTTTTCCTGCTTGAATGTTGATTATTCTCCTCATATTCTCCATTGTTGCGGCTCCTCTCTTCCCAGTCTGTCAGTAACGCTCTGTTTACTTCCTGTCTCTATGAAGCCCCGCCTTCTGAAAGCACACTGTGCTCTGATTGGTCGGCTGGATCAGTGTGTTATGATTTTTCATGAACACTTTAACACTTAATCCCAACAGATCTTTGCCGCCCTGAGGATCATCAGCCTCTACAGAAGCTCCTCATGTTTGATATGGACTGAAATGTGGTGCTTTCCCAGCATTCATCTGTTTTAACCGTCCGTAAACACAAACACTAAAACAACACCACACTGCACATGTGTTGTTTCTAAGGAAACCCTGTTTTAAGTGTGTGTGGCTTCATTTTGTAATTGAAAAATGATGTGGCAAATTTTATTTTGCATAGGATTGTGTTGCTTATTACGGTTCAGAAACCGGATCAAACTCGGTGTGAAATACTGAGAATTAAATGCATTTCTCTGTGAACTCTAGAAAGCAATAAACATGTGTATTTACGAAAGAAATGCAGACTTCGTTATTCACATCAAGAAAAACACACACACACACACACACACAGATCCTCTCGCACTTTGACCATTTATTCCCATGATTTCCGTACAAAACGCAGATTTACAGGCGGGATCATCCTCCGGTTCTCCTCGTTCACCGAGGCCTTTCACATCCTGCAAGAGAAAGCGTCAGTTTCCCATCACACATGATCAGGTGTGTGTGTGTGTGTGTGTGTGTGTGTGTGTGCTCACCTCTCAGTCTCACTCCAGTTTCTTCGGGTTGTTCACAGCCACATAGTGATAGAGAACCACCAGCAGGAATAGCGAAACGCCCAGCATGTTGGCGAATATGGCCAGCTGTACGTCAGTCACCATCACGCTGCAAAACAACCTGCGTTACTGAGACCGGCCTTACATTACACACCCCTGTGCTATTCTACTATAGTAACACCTTCATTATAGCATCTGTAAAAGCATGTTAATTTTAAGGTATAGCACAATAGAGTGCATTAGTGCTTCCCACTTTATTTTTCCCATTCATTTCTCCTAAAAAAAATAAAATAAATCAGCTACGAGGTGAAGCATAACACCAAAAACTTTGATTTGAAGCAAAAAAGTATTTGAAAATCCAGACTTAACGGCTTTAGTGAGGGAAAGAACTACAATCCCATGAAGCATCGCGAACAACATAATCGAATTAGAAACGATGTAGAAATATAAAACTACTGTTGATTATATTTATAGAAGCCATATATTTTACATGTATCGCAAAATAAACATACACATATTTAAGTATTTTGAAAGCGTAGGGAGATTCAAATGCGTTATGGGAGTGGGCGGGGCTATTTTGGAGCGTGTTGCTTTTTTCGACTCTGATTGGTGTGATTTTCGGTACGAGCATCATGGGTAATGTAGTTTTTCCACAGGGAATTCTGTTGTTAAATACGATTATTAAAAAAAAATGAGCTGAAATAATGCGGGCTGACGTCTTTAGCAGAAGCAAATACCATCGATTAACAAAATTAATGGAGTTTTTAACTACTTGAACTTGACTGCTAAACACTATAAAGGAAAAAATATGAAAAATTAAAAAAAACAAATTGCAACCGCATGTACGCTATAGAGCAATTCAGATACAATGGTGATGAAAGATTACACACTGATTTATAATGACAATTAAATGGTATTTAAAAGATATCGCATGATTATTGTTCTGAAGTGCAACACACAACATGACGTCATATTATGCTCAAACGACATGAGAATCATCAAAGATCAAAACCGCTGCTCGTGTAATTGATGCTTTAACAATTTATAGTTTAATATACTGTATTACTCACAATTATTGTGCTGTCTGTGTGATGTTTATGATGAATCAATCTGCCCCCAGCTCGAGAGTTCCTGCGCTGCTGAATTCCGGGATTGAGACACGTCACGTACATACGGGTCTCTGAAGACGTCACATCCTGAATAAATCACGGATAATTCAATTATTTCTTTTTTTATCTATATTTTTTAACAGTTATCAATCTAATTAAGGAATGAATATTTGTGGGTTTTTTTAATAAAAAATAAAAAAGTTAAATAATTGTACATTTTAAAAGAACATTAAGCGAGTGTTCAGAGTGTTTCTCCTCCTGACCGTTAGAGGCGCTGATGTGATTCCAGACGCTCGAGTCGGCGCGAGTTCAAATATTCAAACTGGAGGCTTTACACAACAAAAACATCTTCAAAACAACAGATTAAACATATAAACATCACTCCTTCATACATCAAGATACATATAACATATGTAAGTAACAATTGCTCCTTATAAATTGTAGCGCTGGGATGTCAGAGTTGACATTTTGTGTTTTGGTCATCTGAATAGTGAATACTTGTAACGTTACTGCCTTTCGAAATGATATAATTCTGTATAAACAATCCCTGAAATGTTGCAAAACAAAAAAAGCCCTAAATTTGCATGAATACTTATGCAAACTTATTCCCTAGTGTCTACTGCTGAGTCTCTTGGTTTCCTTTTTTTTATTTATTTTGTTTTATTATTATCTTTTTATTCTATTTATTTATTTGTTTGTTTTCTACTCATTTATTTTTATTTGTACAATGTTGTACTCCATGTTCAATTCATGTTGTAAGATTTGACTGAATATGATTGCGATATGCCTTTTTGTATGTTTGATATACGATTCATAAAAAAAAAAAAAAAAAATACTTGTAACGTTACTTTAATATGTTGGATTGGATAGGATATGTATATATATATATACTTACAGACATATTGTATGTGCATATACAAAGGCAAGGCAATGCAATTTTATTTATATAGCAGATTTCATACACTATGGTAATTCAAAGTACTTTACACAGAAACGAATTAAAATAATAAAAAAAGTAAAGCAAGTAAAATTAAAACAGTTATAAAAGGAATTAAAAGTGATATAAATACATAGATAAACTTCTCATCTGGCAAAACATCTGTGTATCATATTTTTCACAACTCCCAGTTTTACTCTTGAGATTTTCCCATGATGATCACACTGTCTGTGGTGTTCTTTATACACATACACTAACATATATATATATATATATATATATATATACATACATTATATGAATAAATATAAAAAGAGATCATAGATGTCCGAGCTGTAGATTGCAATATTCATTTACATTTACGTTTATGTATTTGGCAGACGCTTGTATTGCATTCCAAGGCACACATTTACATTGTTATCAGTTCTTGCTTTCCCTGGGAATCGAACCCATGACCTTGGCGTTGCAAGCGCCAGCGCTCTCCTGTTTGAGCCTCAGGAAAGCTTGTATTCATCAAAAATTCAAAGAAATATTCCTCGTGTGTTATGAGTGTGTTTGTGTCCTCTGAAGGTCATGGGTGTTTCTGAGCTCTGGTCGATCCTGGAGCCGGTCCGGCAGTGTGTCCCGCTCTACAGTCTGTCCGGGAAAACCCTCGCCGTGGACCTCAGCCTGTGGGTCTGTGAGGCCCAGCATGTGCAGGGCATGATGGGAAAAGTCACAAAGCCGCATCTCAGGTGAGTCTGAAGTGGCGTCTATTAGCGCTGCACAATTAATCGCACTGAAACCGCACGCATCGGTTTAAAGGTGCAGTGTGTAATATTTCAGAGGATCTGTTGACAGAAATGCAATATCATAAACATAACTATGTGTTCAGTGGTGTGTAAAGAGCTTACATAATGAAGCGTTATGTGTTTATTAGCTTATAATGAGGCGTTTCTCTCTACACACACCGCGGGTCCGCTTACACACATGTTTCTACGGTGGCCCTGAGCGGACAAACGCGTTTCGTCACTGTGTTGTTCTTCATGATCAGAAGCTGCTAAAGTCAGCGAGTAAAACACAGACACAACGATGAACAAGTCACAATAATATTCACCGTTTTACTGAATAATTAAGCAAACATTGTAATTTCTCTTTGTGAAGAAACCTCATTGTTTAACTGGCTACTCTCTACTGTCTCAGTCGACGACATCACTTCCTGTCGGCCACCGTAACTTCTGTTGGGTGCAGTTCGCAAACTCACCACTAGATGCGCTAAACATCACACACTGCAGCTTTAAAGAGTGATTACATGTAAATTGCGATCTAAGTGGTTTGATTTCAGAGTGGCTCACATGATGACGTGTGTGTCGTACAGGAATCTGTTCTTCCGCGTGTCTTCGCTCACTCTGATGGGTGTGAAGCTGGTGTTTGTGATGGAAGGAGAAGCTCCCAGAATCAAAGCCGAAACCATGAGCAAACGCACTGAGATGAGATTCGGCGGCCTGAAGCCCAAGAGCGTCACGAAACCAGCCGCTAAAAACACCAGCAGAGGCCGGTTCAAGGCCGTTCTCAGAGAGGTGTGTATGCGTTTATTCAGATGATTAGAGCCACTGTCGGGTGTCACCTTTCATGCAGTGTGTAGTAGAGCTGTTTGTGAATGTAAAAGCTTATTGTCTCCTAAAAGAAAGAAGCGATTCTGATCTGGTGAAACGAGTCAGTAATTGAGGTCTCACATGTAGCTAATTTGCATAATCCCCACCTCTGGTCCTGATTGGCTGAGCAGCGTCTCTTAGCCCTGCCCTCAAACACTAGTGTATCTGAGACTGGGAGAGTTCGGCTCGTGTCGAGGAGACGCTGTTTTCTGAGATTGATACGGTGAAACCCACGCCTTCGTTACTGTTCGTATCACTGTGATCAAGAGCTGAGAGTCAGATATGATAATGAGCGTTTGCTTTCTGACCAATCACAGCAGAGCAGCTCTCAGAGAGGCGGGGCTTAGAGAGGCTGAATCTCCGAACGAAGCGTTTCAGACACTGAGAGAAAATGAGCTGACAAGTTTCTCTCTCAGATATTACAAGCACATTATTTTTATTACTACACACATACAAACTCTGACATCCACACTAAAACACACACACACACACAGACCAACACACACACAATTATTGCTGCATAATTGATCCAATTGGCTCTATAATATACAGAAGCAGAAAACAGATGAACATTTCAGATGAATCTTTTTCAATATGGTGTATGAAAGACAAATAAAAAATATGTATATGATCTCACATTTCTCTAAAAATTGCATTGATTTAAT